AAAAAAGGAAAATAGGAGTAGTAAATAAGTCTATACAAATGTGAAATGATAAAGAAAGCTCACGTTGATAAAAGCCCCTGCACAAGGTATGCTGGTAAGGATATAACAGAAAAAAAAAATGGCGAAGATTACAAGTAAGCTAGTTTTTATTTTTGTTTTTACTGTTACTTATTTACAGGCGCATAATATTTGTAGGTATACATACCTTAAAATATAATTTCTAAAATACTAGGGTTATTAAGGTTTTCTTGCTATAAAAAGTCAACCTAAATAAGGTAAATTTTGTATGACCTAACTTAACCTAAATTAAATCCTATTTTATCTATTCTATTCCTAACTGAAGTAATTTAACTCTTTTTCCTTGTCTTTTAATTTCTTGGAGTACGCTTTACTAACTTATTTTTTTGCTTTTTTAAGGTGCAGAAGAAAGTGTTTTGAAGTCATTGGTGAAGATGAGCGACTAAGGGTATTCAACGAGTTTATTAGTCTCAAAACTAAAAATGAACAAGATTGCTATCTGCAGTCATTGATGTGTTCTGCTGAGGATGAGCATGGACAAAGTAGTTCAGGAAATGGTAAACCTGAAAATGTCATAAAAATGGTGAAAGAGCACATATCTGCTTATCTGAATAAAATAATTCATGATTATACTGAAAAACATTTTTTTAAATGAAAAAGGTTCTGTTTATGACACGCACAAGGCATTTCAAAAGAAGTGGAATCATGCTACGCATGTGATGAGTTACAGGTAAAAAAATTAAAAGTAAATATTAGGCAGCAATGTTAAGAAAACTGTTGAGAAAATGGTTTGTAATTGCAGAGCCACAATGTTTTCCAGAAAAATTAAAGAAATCACACAAAAATCTCAAGGTAATGATAAAATAGAAGGGATTTATATAGATTATATGCAAAGTTTGCAACTTCCTTGCATACCAGTTACTAAGAGAATTTTTACCTCAGGCAGCTGACTGTTAGTGTTTTCTGCATACACAACTTTAGAGATATTAGTGTCAAATTTTTTTTGTGTCATGAAGTGGTTAGTGCAAAGGGACCTAATAAAGTTTGTTCTTTTCTAATAAAATATATAGAGTCTTCCTGCAATGATGTAGAAGAGTTGCATGTGTTTTCTGATGGGTGCAGGGGACAAAACAAACACCACACCCTTGTTAGGCTATGTTCTGCACTAGTATAGCTAAACAAGGTTAAGAGTGTTGACCAATATTTTTCTTTGAGAGGTCACTCTTTTCTTTCTTGTGATCGGGACTTTTTTGTCTTGAAAAGAAAAATCTGGAAAACTGATAGGATTTATACCTTAAAAAAGTATAATGATTTGATTCTGTCATCCTCCAAAAAAAATACATTTTCTGTCATCATCTTAAAGTTTTAAAAATCATCACATTGCTGATTTTAAAAACTGGTGACCTCAATTTTATAAAAAAACAATGTTATCCTATGAAACAGCTGGCTGCAATGTGTCCATTGCAATGTGTCCAGGATTGAAATAGTTACTTTTAAAATCAGCACTTTTATGCATATGAGCCAAAAAACTGAAACATAGTAATTTGCAGAGATATTCTAATCATTCATTACTGCCTCTTCCTACAGCTAAAGCTTATCCGGAAGGAGTGATCCCAATCAACACTAAAAAGATGAAGATAATAAAGAGTTTTTTGACCAGATTCTGATTTAGCCATCTGTAGACAAAGCTGATCCATAGTTTGTGCCACTGTTGTTTAAACATTCCCTTACAAACTTTCATTGAGTTTCTTTCATGGTATCAAAAGTAATATACATAAATATGAGTTTTTAAAACTGAATTTTTGATTTTTGTCTTTATTTCTATCAGGGCTGTGGAGTCTGAGTCTGAGTCGCTAAACAAGATCGTGACTCCGACTCCAATAGTATAACTTCTCAGTATTCAACGTGCATGTACAAAACATTTAGTTAACCTTATGTTCATACTAAACCTCAAAGAACGTTTCATAAATTTGTTAAAAAAAATTTTTTTAACTTATGGCGTAATATTTTTTAAAGAATTCAAAGAGTTTTTCAAAAATTTTGCTTTGAAGTTGGAGTCGGAGTTGCACTCAAAAAATTTCAACAACTGGAGTCGAAGTCGGAGTTGTACTAAAAAAATTTCAACAAATGGAGTCGCATTCGTTACTTTTTTTTTAATGACTCCACACCCCTGTTTTCTACAAATCCAAACCTTAAAATAACTTTTTTTGGTTTTTATGTCTGTTCAGAAAAACATAACTCAGTCAAATAAAAAAACCCTAAACTAACTAAACTTTTAACTAAAAAAAACCCTAAACATCTAAAAAGATGTAAAGTAAATTTTTTCAAAATTTTAAAACTTTGTTTTAGTTAGTATTAAGTATATTTAGTTTTTCGAAAATCATTTTTTATGAAATATTAAAATGTTTTTTTTCATTTTCAAAAAATTGCTTTTTTTGATTACATATATAAGGAGAAAAATGTGATACAAAACCCCAAGCTTAGTTGTGGGTAAGGGTAACATCCTTAGTTTTATAAAGTGTATTTCATATAGGTGACATTTCCATAATGTCAATTTTTTATTTTAATATATAGGTGACATTTCCATAATTTCAATTTTTTATTTTAATATGACATAGGAAATTTTACAGATAGGTTGTTTCTTTATGATACTACAACTAGTATTATTAACATCCTGTTTTACATGCTCCTACCAACTCCCACCATTAAATTAGAGGTTTTATATTAAAGCTTTCTTTTTGGTAAGTTGTCTTTACATGCTCAATTTTTATTATATTCTATTTGCATTAAGTAACTTTTTTTGGGAAAATTAAATGAAAAAAATGTTATTATTTTGTATTTTATTTTGATTTTACAAATTAATATGAGTACAGTAAAATGACCAAATTCCAGCCATATTTAAAGTTTAATATTTTTATCTTTGTTTCTGTATTATGATTGCTGATGCAACTTTTTTAATACAAGTATGAATGCAGCAAATATAAAAAGCATTAGTTTAGTTAGCGAGTGCTTACAATATCACACCAAATATTTACCTTATAAAGTACTACTTTAGATTTAAAATATGATGTAGACATCCCATTTTAAGGTATAAAATATGAAAAAATAAATAAAATTTAGAAAAAAATGTAGGATAATTAAGTCTTTTAATGTAAGTATTTTATGTTTCATGTATGACTTTTATTTTTTTAAATATATAATAAGTTTAAATATACATTTTGTATTTATTTTAATATTTATAAAATGTTTACATAAAATTTACAAGTATTTCCATGCATAACTTTAAAAAAAAAAAAATCAAAACATTTAAATCAAAATGCATAATATTTTTTTGCTTGTAACTTATGACTTTTAAATGAAGTTGCATTAAAAATTAATCTTAAAATAAATTTTTTATTAATTTGATAAAAAAAAATTTAAGATCAGTAAATATGCGTAATAAAGATGTCAACCAACTCATAAATATGTGAAATGCTTAAAGGAAGTATACTAAGTACCTAATGTAACTTTGCAGAACAAAATAAATAGAAAACTTAAGATTGGTGCAAAAGCAGGAAGAAAAAGTTTAATGCCACATGATCTTGAAAAAAGGTACCAGAAATAGTCCTTGGTTTTAGAAAAAAACAATTCTTGGTTTATGTTGACAAGCTTGCAAAAAGACATAGATGCTCTTTCAAGAATTGCAAACCATCTTATCAATGGTAGTAACTACTCAACAATCGGCACATAAAAAAAAATTGCTCTTCAACAACCAAATTCAACAGCATCAGTCTGTCATCAGCGCATGAAGGTAACAAAATATTTACTTTACTTAAAGAGGTCATTAAAGACTGCTAACCTGAAGTAATAAAGAACATGGACATGGACAGAGCTGCAGCTCGACTTTAAGGCACATAAAGTTGTTGACCATAAAGGTATTAATTACCTATAAGAACCAATCAAAATTGGATAATGATTACTATAATCGTTTACATGAATGCAGCAGAAGGAGTCTAGTTACCTCATGATTTCAAAAACAATAAAAATTAGCAGAACATAGCAGTGATGGTTTATAAAGAAATAAAGTATAACTTGATTATATTGTTATTAATGGTCTTTGGTCAACTTTGGATATTAGTTAAATATTTTTATTCTGAGTGGTATAAAAATTTTTTTATAGAGTTCATAGCATTATTTTATAAATGTGAATATTCTATTCTATATAAATTTTATATATTTTTATTAAATATTAATTTTTTATTCTATATAAATTTTTTAAATCAGTAGTGTTGATTATTTTAATGACATCAAATATCTGTATTGACACAATAGGTAAAATTAAAAATAAAAGGTAAAGTTAAATTAAAAATGTTCCTAGTGTTGTTTTTTTTTTAATTGTATTTTAAAACAAATTGATATTTATGAATCTGTTATAGGAAATTTAAAACATCAAAAACTGTTAACAAATGTTAAGTTTTACTAAATGTTTTACTGTCATTTTGTAATAACTTGTAGAGTTAATATATATTATAGATTCACTTCTTAGTAATCCACTTAATTTTAAATATTTAAAATACTAACCCATAAAAGTATTGGTAAAGGACTTGTTTTTTTATACTGGCTAGAATTAGGTTCTTATTGTAAACACCTGACTGAAGTTTGTTCATAATGGTATTTTGTTCTGTATTTTGGTCTAATTCATATACCTTTTTTTTTTCTTTGTTAGTCTATGCAGTTTTTATTTATAAAAATAGTTCTAATTATGTCCTTAATGCTGAAAATTTTATCTTTCTAACAATAAATGATTGTTGTATATTTTATTAAAACAAAATCATATAGAAATAACAAAGTTGTAAATGGCTGGAATTTGGGCACTTCCCTACTTGGGAATTTTAAATAAAAATTTTAAATGCCATTATGAAGTGTTTTATTGTGATTTTTTTTTTAGGAGATATAAATGTGAAGGAAATATAAATGAGAGTTTTATTGTGATTTTTTTTAAGGAGATATAAATATAAAGGAGATATAAATGACAGTATGTCAATAATTGATGATCAAGTAAAGCAGTTATTACGTTCCGTATTGGTATCTGCACCAGGTGTTAAACAATCATCACTAGAACATGAGTATTATAAAATAACTAATGAAGTTCTTCCATGGCGAAAGTATAAATTTCCAAATTTATTTGAGTTTTTGAAAGCTCTTGAGGGTGAAATAACAAGGATTGAATTTAGTGAAAAGTTTGCTGATAATATCATATATGCTGTTATAGATAGGACTAAATATAATTCAAAACATGCTCTTAAGTTTGCTTCAAAGTAATTTATCTTATTTTAAAATTATTTTTATTTTTTAATATATATTTATTGTAGTTTGGTTATAAAAATATTTTACGATTTGGTGTTCATTACATTTTTAACATTTGTTATTTCATAAATTTTTTTGTTTTTTAAAGAATAGGTTGCAAAAATATTAAAAAATTATTTGTAATTAAAAGGTAAGGTCGATTGCAAAAAGAGAGAGTGATGTGTTGAAAAAAGGAAAAAGTGGATTGCAATAATTGAAAATATTGTTTACAATGAAGGGAAAAGGCGGGTAGTAACAAGTAGGAATGGTTGCATGCAAGGTTTTCACACCTTTCCCCTCTTTTCCCCTAGTCTTCCCACCTTTCCCCTAGTCTTTATATTTATTAACGAAAGTTCAATAAATATAATTGTTTTATTTTACCCACCTTTTCCCTGGTCTTTATATAAAGTAATGGAAGTTATAAAATAAATTCATTACAATTGAGTTTTTTATTTTGATTTAACTTTAGATCTACTTCTAACATTACCGGGAAAAGTCCTGAAGAGATAAAAGTTTGGAAATTATCCAAAATGAAGTTACCTGAAAGTTTAATGCATGTTGCAAATCAAAAAAGTTTGTTAAAAGACATTGTGTTTAATAATAGAGGTTTGCAGGTGTTAAATAAAGCTTCGGATCAAAATGCCATATTAAATCAAAATATTGTAAATCAAAATAAAAAGCAAGATTTCAGTGAGTGGATTTTATTGGACCAACTATGTCTTGATCAGACTGGTTATTTTTTGTTAAGTATTAAAACTAAATCAGGGAAGAGTTTTGTTGGAAGAGAAGTATGTTGAAAATGTGATTATTTTGATCTTTTTAAAAAATATTTAATAATATATATATATATATATATATATATATATATATATATATATATATATATATATATATATATATATATATATATATATATATATAAATAAATAAAATTTTTTGTTCCAAAAAACAATTTTTATAAATCTCTGCTCTCGCCCTCTAAATGTGTTCTATATAATAAAATAATACTAAAATTTAAAAATTTTATTGGGGTACTTCAAGACCCTTGAACATCAGATAGGTCCCTAATATCATCAAAAAAAAAAGTTCTTCAAAAGCATGTATACCCAACATGATGGATCTCAAAAGAAGCAAAGTTATAAAAATTTTAAAAATAATCATTTCATAAATTTTAATACAATTTTTTTGAAAAACACATATTTACTTTTTAGTTGAAAATACAATTTTTTAGGCAGTGAAATTTAAAATAATTTTTAAATAAAATTATAATTATTTTTAAAACTTCTTTTGCTTCTTTTGAGATCCAACATAATATACTTTTGAATAACTTTTTTTTTTTGATATTAGGAACCCATCTGATGTTCAAGGGTCTTTAGGGACCCCAAAAAAATTTTTAATTCCAGAATTATTATATAAAACACATTTAGAGGGTGGTAGCAGACATTTAAAAAAAAAGTTGTTATTTGGGACACCCTAATATATACCGCCTTTGGAATTGGGGTCTTTAACAATTCCAACGTAACATGGTTTAAGGTCATTAAGGCAATATTTTACTGACCTCAAAGTTTTAAAACTTAATTTTATTTTTTATTTTAAATAAACTACAATTGGCAAAATGAAGGTTTTATTTAAATTCTAAATAAAATAACGAAAAATAAAAATAAAAACACAAACATTTTAGTTAGCTTCTAAATAAAGTTTTACAAAAGCCAACAGAAAATCAAACATTTCCTTAATAAAATTTCATTTCATTTAAATCCTTATTAAAATAGTCAAAGTAAAAAAATCGTCAACTGTAAGTATTGTAAAATCTATAAGTCTTTTATTTAAATAGTAAACAAAACAGTTAAGATAAAAGCCAAGAGTTTCATTAATTCTATATAAAATAATTATAATAAAATTTTGTGCTGACCTAAAGCAGTTTTAGGTGGGCATATTTTTGCCAACCTTGTTTTTTTCTAATTCCGAGAGCTGCTTATATATATATATATATATATATATATATATATATATATATATATATATATATATATATATATATATATATATATATATATATATATATATATATATATATATATATACACAATATATATATATATATATACAATATATATATATATATATATATATATATAAATATATATATATATATATATATATATATATATATATATATATACAATATATATATATATATATATATATATATATATATATATATATATATATATATATATATATATATATATATATATATATATATAACATACATATATAAATGCAAGCATATATACATATATATATATATATATATATATATATATATATATATATATATATATATATATATATATATATATATATATATATATATATATATATATATGCAAGTATATATATATGTATATTACATACATATATATATATATGCAAGCATATATACATATATATATATATATATATATATATATATATATATATATATATATATATATATATATATATATATATATATATATATGCATGTACATATGTATGTATATATATGTATATATACATATATATATATATATATATATATATATATATATATATATATATATATATATATATATATATATATATATTAATATATATATATATAATTACATACATACATACATATATATCTTATTGAGATATATATGTATGTATTATACATATTATTATGTATGTATGTTTACATAGATATTATAGATATTATTAGATTTATAATATATTATAGATATTATTATGTATGTATGTTAACATACATACATATATATCTTATTGAGATATATATGTATGTATTATACAAATATATCTCATATATATATATATATATATATATATATATATATATATATATATATATATATATATATATATATATATATATGCATGTACATATGTATGTATATATATGTATATATACATACATATATATATGCAAGCATATATACATATATATATATATATATATATATGCATGTATATATATGTATATATACATACATATATATATATGCAAGTATATATACATATATATATATATATATATATATATATGCATGTACACATGTATGTATATATATGTATATATACATACATATATATGCAAGCATATATACATATATATATATATATATATATATATATATATATATATATATATATATATATATAATATATATATATATATATATATATATATATATATATATATTTATATATATGTATAATTACATACATATATTCATATATATCTTATTGAGACCTTGACTAATTCTTAGTCTATCCAACATAAATAGATTTGATTGGATTCAAATCTGATGATTGAGTTGGGAAAGGCAATAAAACTCTGTTAAAGCAGCCCAAATAAAAAATATAAAATACTTAAAGCAGCCCAAATTACTAAACTGGTGATTACTATACTTCTCAGATTGAGAGATGCTCTTTTTAAAATCAGATGCTCTTAAGATGCTCTTTTTAAAATCAAATTTTGTTCTTTATTGTTGTATTAATTTTTGTTTACAATTAGCTGTAACTAATATTGTGAGACTCTTATAGGTGGTTGCAATGAGGGGTCAAAATCGTTGCCAAAGATTGGCACCCCTTAGACTATTTCCAAAACCTACTAAAGTGGGGCAACCATCTGTTATTCATTTTTTCAGAAAAAATGAATAAATAGTTGGTTGTCCCCCTCAAATAGTTCATAAAAAAGGTCAGAGAAACATTGATGCTCATTTTTTTTTTTTTACTTTTTATTTAAGTTATGCTTGTTATTTAAAATAATTGTGTATAGTTTATACTTATTGTAATTATTTCTAATTGTATATGCAAAATTTATTTTGATTCAAATTAATGTAACTTTTTTTGTTGTCAAGGTTGTAACTTTGGCAATGGTCTTTTCTTATTTGTTTTTTTCTCTGTTTGACTGTTTTTATCTTGATCACTATTTATATAAATATGGAAATCATTCAGCTTGTTTCCATTAACATTTTTATTTTTACTTTTTTTTGTCTTGATATTTGTTGTAGTATTCACAATTTTTTCTTTAAGGTTTTCTTCTTTTGCGTCTTCCTTTTTTTTTATAGTCAAGTTGACAATTGTTTGTTCATTATGTCTCACTTTAAATGTGCCTTCTAATACAAATTCAGGTAGTTTTTTTTTCCATTTTTCTGTTATGAGCTTTATTTCATTTTCAATCTTTAATTCTTCTTCACTTAAATTTGTTTTTCTAGAGTGAACTCTTGCAGCTTTCATTTTAAGAGAACAAAGTTCATAAATTGCTCCGAAAAAAAGTAGAAAAAGAATCATACATGCACTACAAATTAATACATTTTTGTAAATACCAGATTGAGTTGTAAACAATATATTTGCTTCAATTATTGGGTTTGATATATCTGGCAAGTTGTTAAACTTTTTATAAACAAAATCATTGATCAAATCTTTCTGGTAGTCTATATACTCATTAAATAAGTCATAAAGAAATTCATCATATATTGAAACCCCATAATATGATTGGTCAACATCATAAATTACATCTCTTATAAACAAGTTGTTATCTGATGTTTCCATATGGGTCTGAAGCTGGTTTTTTGCAGTATAAGAATCTACTAGGAATCCGCTGATTGGTCCTTTTACATCTTTAACTTTTTCAATTAACTTTTCAACTGTATCCATATAATGTTGTTTTGCATTTCCTTTCATGAGAAGTACCTTTTCAAAAATATGATTGTTTAATATGCCAATATTTCCACTGTTCACTGAGGCTTCATATCGTTTTGATACTTCATTAATTGCTGTTGTTAGAGCTGCAGTCATTAGTGCTGTTATTGTGATGCCACAAAGTATCCAAAACATTGCATATATTTTTGATATGTGACCTTTTGGGGAAACATCACCATAGCCAACAGTTGTCATAGAAACAAATGCCCACCAAAATCCTAAGAAATTATTTAGCAAACAAAGTTGTATAACAATATAGTTTAGTATACTATATAAAGTAATATAATAAAAGTGTCTTTGTGTGTGCATGTGTGTGGATTATTTTATTATTAATATTTTTTAATTTTTATAATAATTTTTCTTTTCTTTATAACTTCATAATGTAATTATAATTGGGTAATGTTAAGTATTTAAATTTTGAATAATAGTTAAAACATTAATTTTTACTTGCAATTAAGACATTAATTGTTAATGACAGTTAAGGTATTAAGAAAATCAAACTGAGTTTGTTACAAATTACCTTTATTTGAGTTTTATTTTAAATGAAAAAAAAACTATTTTAGTTCAATAAAATAAAAATTATTAATGAAATTTGAGTTTTTCATGGGCAAGCAAGTTTTTTGATAAAGGCATTTTTCTATGCAAAATTTTACCAATTTTGCATTTTTGGGTAAAAATGAACAACAAACCCAAGACTTACAACTTGAAGCTTCAGATCGATACCAATGTATCTTCACATTGATACCAAATGTTGTTTTGGGTTAGCAATGTGACTCAAAACAACATGTAATTATTTTTAACTTATGTTGTGCTTGTTAAGTTTCATCTGAAGGTTTACTTCAATTCAATCTTTTGCATTTCTTTATTTGGCTTTTTGGCCTTATTTTCTTACTTGAGTTTCTGAAGTAACTTAGAGCTTGTCTTTGTTTCTAGGGTTTTGTCTTTAAGTCTTTCCATGAAGTTTTGCAATACTTTTGAGCATTTGAGCTGGAGTAAGGGTGGTAACTGGTGGTGTAAGGAGTAAGGGTGGTAACCAATTAATGATTAATTGACAAAAAATAGACTAAAAATTCCTGATGATCGACATGTTATAAAAGTACTGCTATGAACTACGCAAACTCAAACAAGTAGTTAAGTATTCAGACTAAAGTCACTATGGCCTTGAAATGATTACAACAAATGGTTCAATGACTTCAGAATTATTATTGTTATTGACATGTTAAATGAGTTTGGCTTAAATTTGAATAATAGTTTCCTTGCATGTGTGCAACATTAAAAACTTTGATACCAATCAGTTATAAAAAAAAGTTGTGAAAGTTATTAATTTTTTTTTACTTGAAATAGGTATTACCCACCAAATTTACCATTGCCTTGAAATTCATCTTGCATTATGCAATATTCTTCATAGGAATATTACATAGTGCTATTTCAAGCAATTAAAATAGCTTAAGAACTAATCAAGGATGAAGATAATAAAAATGAAGTAGCTGATTCCAGTTTTGATAATCAAAACAAAAATAAAAAAATGCTGGATTAAAGATTAACTATCAATTCTGTTAATAAGGATTAAATGATGACTATGATGATATAATGATAATGTGGTGGTATGATGATGATATGGTGGTAATGATGGTATTTTCATAGTGATTGTAGTTTCATATAATAGTTAAGCTGTTTAGAAAATCACTACCTAAAAATGATACTCTTTAATTTTAATGTATATAGAAAATCCTTTTCCAATTTTATTAAGGTAGACCCATTTTATACCTGTTTTTTTTATGTATGTAGAATATATTTAGGAAAAGAGCTTTATCTATTCTGGGTTCCAAAACAAGAAAAAAGTCTGTAATTAGTATGTTAAAACAATTCTCAGAATCAAAAAATGTTATTTGAAAAGCTCTTGTCGATATATTGCAATCGATAAATAGCAAACTGCAGTTTATAATTGTGCGGTGATGGATGAAGAACTTGTTGGTAGCACTAAGTTGTGGAACATAGAGTATCCATTTGCATCTAAATTTTTGAAAAGGAACTTAAAGCAGAATTTGTAAAAAAAAAATTCTCTATTAATCAGGCTTAAAAGAAATAAACATGAAATATTCGTACTATCTAGCACAAGTGTTAAGATTTTTTGAGAAAAATGGACAACCTTTTTTTTTCAGTAAATTTATACACAAATAATGCAAGGTGGAGCCATTCTAACTATGTTCCTAGTAGTAACGCGCTCAACTTGTTTCTCTGGCAACAGCAACTTTGACTTAAGGTTAGTGTTTCGGAGTTAAAGAGTTGAGAGAGGGTTTGAACCACAAAAAGTAGCATTCTCTACTGTAGTGACTCTTGGCCTTGTGAAAAATTTTTTTTTTCAATGTTATTTACATATTGAATTTTAAAAAAATAAAATGATTTGTTTTTTTTAAATTTAATAAAATAGAAAAGATTACAAGATTGAATGTATAGATTTTATATTCTTTTAATGCAAAAAAAATACTAGGGGGTAATATTGCATTATTTTGATAACTTCTCAAGCTTTCTAGACAGTCCAAATCATTTACCTTCTCTACTCGACTTATGTCTTGTTTTTAATCCTAGTCAGTACCCAGTTTCTCCACATTCACTCTTGGGTGCTTCTGATCACGGTTTGATCTTTCTAAAACTATTATCACATTCTTCTCATCTCTTGATTTCCATAATAACATCTCACCTGATATAGCTGAGAAATAGGTTGATCCATTGCCTGACATATCACAAGTGCATTTTAAGTTTTTAATTATCAAACACTTAATCTCTCATCTTGAATCCAATAACTTTTTGATCATCAATATGGGTTAGTTAACAACCAATAGGTTTTATTGTGTATTAGATAGTTGTGGAGAGGTTGAGGCTATCACTTTCGACATTTCTATATAAAGTTTAACATGGTGGTCTTTTCCATAAGCTCTCTTCTTATGGTGTATCAGTAACATCTTTAAAATTATCGAATCCTTTTTTACTAATTCTAGTATAAAAGTTGTCCTTGATGGACATTACTCTTTTTTATTTTCTGTAACTACAGGGGTTCCTCAAGGGGCTATCCTTGGCTCTATACTTTTTTTTAATTTACAATAACAGTCTCCCTGAAATTCTCACATCTAAGATGGCATTGTTTGCTGATGATACCACATTTCTTCTTGTTTTGATAAGAAGTAATGAAAAAGAAGCCAACACTCTCTGATTGCTTGAAGAGGGCATTTGTGCTTGAAAAGGATAACACTTCTGCTACAACATGGGGGTCACAGTGGCTTGTGAACTTTAACTCAATTTTTTTTTACCTAATCATTATCGCAATAATCTAGATCTTCCTATATTTATAAACAGTAATGTACTCAATAAATCATCTACCCTTTGTCTTCTAGGAATAACTCTTACTTCCGATCTTACTTGGAAACCATATATCAAATCCATTGCAAAATTAGCATCTGCTGAGGTTGCATCTCTTTATTATGCTTGTCGCTTCCTTACTTTGAATTCTGTTCTTTATCTCTATTAATCTCTAATCCGTCCTTGTATGTTATACTGTTGCCATATCTGAAGGGAATCTTCGAATGATGCCTTTTTTCTTTTAGACAGTATGGAGGTCCAATTATGGACCTCCATACTTATAATGCATTTTTAAAGTTCATTTTTGTGTTACTCATCTTTCAATTAAGTCTCGTCCTTTTACTGTGACTGCTCTTAAGTGCTCTAAAAATTCTTATTTGTCTAGTTTTTTTTCTTGAACATCAGTTCTTTTGATTTTGCTTCTTTTATTTTGTTTTCCTGATTTATTTTATTTTAAATTTTTAAATTGTCTGTTATTCATTATCTTGCTTTAATTTATGTTGCTTTAATTGCAAAATCGCAGTAATTACTTTAATTCATTTCACTGTTTAAAAATGTTACTATGTACAAAAATATTTAAAAAGTCTATAAATGGCTGGAGCATAAAAAATACATAAGTCTGCCTTATCACAAAACCCCATTAAAAAATACTCTTGGGGCCTGGAAACAAAAAAAATCCTAAAATGATAACCCCTATTACCCCAAATGTTACGGCATTAAGTTAAAAAAAGTTTTTTCACTAAATTTAAATTTACCAAAAGGTTTTGAATTTCATCTAATAATCCTAAACATTTCCTCCCCAAATGAGGGGGTTTAAGTTTTAAATGGTCATTATGGGGTTGCATCATCATTGCAAATATGGAGGTAAAAAGTTTACTTGGTAATTGATTTTAAACACTAATCAATTAATAAGTTAAAATTAAAAACTTATGGATAAAATTAAATTAAATATAAGTTAGTGAAAAAATATTTTTATTGCTTATTGTTCTCACATTTGAGGATTTATGGAAAGGGGTGATTTTTTGTGGATATTCTGGTTCCTAGGTTCTAATTACTGCAATTTTTTACAAAACATTAGCATAAATATACTTAAGTTTGAAGTTAGCATTAAAAAAATAGAGTAACAGAAAATCTATACATTTAATCTTGGGACCTTTCCCATTTCTCTTAATGGCGGATTTTTGAATGTTAGTTATATTATTATAGTTAGAAAGTTTGATGACTCTTAAATAATTTTGTCTCAATTTTTTTAAACCATTAAAATTACAATTGGATTGAATACCCAGGCTTGGACAAGAATGGCATGTGATCAAGTATTATTGCTGACCACGCAAATGATTTTTTCTGTTGACAACTTGACCACAATTGCTTAAATGTTTAAAAAATTAAAAAAAAAACTAAGAAGAAAGAAAACAATTCCTTACAAAAAAGAAAACATATAAGCTTTAAAATAAAACTCAAATTTGAAGCAAAAATTTCTTTTTTTACGATTTTAGTTGCATTTGAAATAATATACTTTGAAACTTATTTTTTGAAATATTTTATTAAAGTTACGCTAAATGCTTATACTGATTCTAATGATTGTTCTAAAAATAAACAAATTGTCTTAAAATTATTGAAAAGTGAAATTAAGTTAATGATAAGAAAAAATAAATAATATTTTTCAATTGATTAAACATTTTTTTCAAAAAGTTGCAAAAGAAAATTGTTTAAAAAAAATAACATTTTTTTAAAATAGTAATTTTAAATCATTTCGTGCTCAGATTAGTAAGTCATGCTTAAAAAGAAAAGCTTCTAAACAATTATTTGTCAAAATAATAACAAAAAAAAAAAATAAAGCGATTAATTCATTCCATTGCAATGCGAAGATTCAATTTATTATAACCATAATTTAAAGTAACTTAAAAAAAAAATCTTTTAAAATTTTTAAAAAAGACGTGGGAAAATAGTTTTAAACGTTTAAATTTATCTTAAAAAATACATAAAAAACTTAACTGTAACATTTTTTGTTAATTCACACACATTTTATTCTAAAAACAAATTGCGTTTATCTTAAACAATCGTTATAATTAATTTTATATTTTATTTAAAGCCTTTGTGTAAAGTTTAGGAAAGATCTACTATTAAAAGTTATTTGTAGCGTAACAATTTTTTTATTGCATTTAAGTTGTTAAAATATCAAAACAGGCGTGATCAAACCGTAAAGAAAAAAATTACAAATGTGGTCAGTTACAGCGTGCGATCACATGCCATTTCTGTCTAAGCCTGGATACCCTCTTCAGAAACAATAAAATACCTTGCAGGTACCTGCTATGTTTTGAGATAAATGTGTTTAAAGTAGGCCCCAAAGTGTGTGATTTTAGACAAAGAAATATGATTTACCTTTTTTTGATTTTGAAAGTTCTACCTATACTTTCCTAATATAAAAGGAAATTTAGGATGCAATTTTTTCATTACCTTTAAATTCATTTTTATAAATAGAAAATCCTAATAATAATTTTTGAAGTGTTAAAAGGTCAAAAGTTTGACCATAAACCTTTTGATCATAATTCAGGAACTACAATTATTTAGAAAAATTTTGCAGGCTTTTTTACCCTATCAGCGTACTATATAAAAAATTGAGCGTGATTGAATAACTTTTGACCATTACTCTCAGAAAATAGGCGGGGATGTTTGAATTGCCCATTTTTTTGTTCATTTTAGTAAAACAAATTTTTGTTAATTTTTGCAAAACATTTTATAATTTAACATAACATTTTACAATTGAATTAAATTTTATAATTTAATTAAATTTAAATTTAATTAAAATTTATTTAATTAATTTTATTAATAATCTATAAAACAGTTTTTTTAGTAATATTACTTGAAAATTAGGAATGGCTAAATCCTGGACATTTTTAATCCTGGGATTTCGGGATTGAGAAACTTGTCTCTGGGAAATCCTGGGATTGAGTTAAAAACAAAAATGCTATCACAGCAGATTAGGCAGGTGAAGAAATTACTTTAAGATAATTATTGAATACTAATGAATGTTTAATGATAAAGTAACTAAAATAATTAGTTTCTAAATGAAAATAAGTAAATAAAATTATAAAACAATTCATTAACTAGATAACCCAACATTAAAAAAAAAAAGTGAGTGAATACTGAGCATGAATTAAAGTTATTATATATTTATGTATTAATAGTGTCAATAACTGTCATTTAATCAAGTCAAATTGCTTGTCAAATGCTTGATCAATCAAGTCAAATTGCTTATCAAAAGATTTTTTGAGCATTAAAACCCAATTCTAGAGAATGCTTGATCAGAATTCACTCTTGTTGGACATACTCCAGTAAATGTTTGAATAAAAAGTCTAAAAGATGGCTTAGAAGAAGTCTTAAATGGGCATTCGTATTTTTTAATGTCTCAGTATGTATTGCTATTGACTATATTTAAATTTTTAAGTCCAGCATCCAAACAATGAACTCAATAGCCCAAACAAAGTCTAACTCCTAATTTTTATTTTTCTATCTAGATAACCTATGAAGTAATAAAAAGTTATTTTTAGTCCAAGGGAAAAAATTTTAAGTTATTAAGTCTAATAAAACACACAAAAAACTAATGAATTAAAGTCAACAAGTATAAAATTATAAAATGATAATAACAGGAGTTTCTCTTTTGGCAAATTACAAATTTTATTGCAAATTACTTAGCAAATATTAAAAAACTAGAATTTTGTTGTTGTTTATTTTTTGTTGTCATGCCAATAGAAAATCATTGAGTCTTTTATAAATTTTAAGTTTATTTTAAGTTCTAAGTTATTTAACTTAGCACTTAAAATAAACTTAAAATTTATAAAAGACTCAATGATTTTTACAAAAAATATGCAACAAAATTCATTCCTGATTTAAATATATTATATTTAATTATTATAGAAGTAATTTCTTGTCAGAGTAACTGAAGTTCAAGTAAATGAAGTTTTAAAAATAAATTGAAAATCTAATCATTAAGTTTTTTTTTTTTAATACAATTTGATAAAAATACATTTTTTTATAAGTTGAGATTGCAACTACTGCAATAGGTTCAATTTAACGACAATATATAGTTGCAATCTAACAATAATATATTGTTGCAACCTAACAACAATATATTGTTGCAACCTAACAACAATATATTGTTGCAACCTAACAACAATATATTGTTGCAACCTAACAACAATATATTGTTGCAACCTAACAACAATATCTGTTGCAACCTAACAACAATATATTGTTGCAACCTAACAACAATATCTTGTTGCAACCTAACAACAATATATTGTTGCAACCTAACAACAATACTTGTTGCAATCTAACAACAATATCTTGTTGCAATCTAACAACAATATATTGTTGCATTCTAACAACAATATATTGTTGCATTCTAACAATATATTGTTGCAATCTAACAAGATAACCTTATCTAGCAACAATATAATGTTGTTTTAGTAAATAACTATGACATCCTCATCTACAGTCAGTAATATTCTCAGGTCATAATCTTACAATTTTCTGTGTGGTTTTTATTTTTCCAGCATTAAAAAGGTTCTTGAAAAAATTTATTGGATTATAAATTTTATTTTTTACAAAAATGTGCAGCACACTAAAAAAAAAAAAAACTTTTTATTAAATTAAATTATAATTTTTACCTTCAAATGATCCAGGTATGAATCTCCGTGGAAATTGTGCTTTATTAAACCAGGTATCTAAATACCACATAACTACACCTGACGTAAAAGCTAACATTATTGATACTCCAAATAAAGGCCAGAGATTGTAAATAGCAATTAATACATCACGTGCAAATAGTTGTGGTGGAATGCTAAGCGTTGTAATAAACATTGCTGTTGATAGTTTGATAATAGGAATAGTTGAAGGACTTCTGGTAGTGTTAACTCTGTTTGGTGCTCCTTGTGTAAACATGGGAAAAACAATATCACTTTTCGTTTTTGTATTTACATCAGTTAGTTGAGATCTGTTATCCACTTTATTAAATACTATCTGTAAACAGTTTCCACAGCATTGTGACAAACCAGCTGAAATTATTTGTGTTAAGATTGCTTCAACTGGCCAGTAATTTTTACTAAAAGTATTATCATCTGTAAATGGGGGCATGCTAAAGTAAGATATTGTAATACTTTTTTTGCAAATTGCTTCAATATCGCTTGAACAGTTTCGCTCCCAAGAGATTTTGTTTTGTTCAATTAAATCTCCATCAAATAAAAAGTCTAGGTTGCATCTAGGTTTGTATTTGAGACTTTTCACTGTTGAAAAAACCAATAGAAACAAAAAAATCATTGATTATTTTTAAATGTTAAATTGAAGAAAAACATTTTTATATTTTTGCAAAAACATTTTTTTGAGATTTTTTTTTTATTATTATTTCAATTAGATTTGTATTTTTTATTTTTTACTTTTTAAGTTAAAGTATGTTCAAAAGTAAAGTTTAATTTTTAATTGAATTTGAAAACCTTTTCTGTAAGTTATGAATTAGCTTTCTTGTTAGTTATGAATTATTAATAACTTTGGTCTATTAGTAGATACTAATTATTAATAACTTTAATCTATTAGTAGATACTAATTATTAATTTCATTATTATGATGTCACAATGTTAATTGAAGAATGTAGAGAACTTTTTAAAATTCCTTTTTCTTTTAAAAGGTGATTTTAAGTATAGTGATAATATTAGTAATAATATTAACAATAATAATATTCAAAGTAATACTAACATTTAATAACAATAATAATGCATTATAAATAAAGCTAATTTGTTTCAGAGATCTGAGTGTTTTAACTGTAACATCATCACTGATAAAAATAATTAACTTCACAATTTTCCTCTTTCTACTCACTTGCTTAAAAAATCATGACATGAAATTTTACATTAATAGTTAATTAAAAGATTAGTAATTAAAAGTTATATTTAAGTTATATATAAAAGTTATATATAAAAATAATTAAAAGTTAACCTTGGAAAATTTTTTTTTTCCTTTTTAAAATAAAAATTATTTTGCTTTGTATTGTTTTTAAAATAAAAATTATTTTGCTTTGATTTTTGTAAGTTTTATTATCAAGGCTCTAAAATGTAAGGGTTTAAGTACCCTTAGAAGTGTTAGATGTAAAAAATGAAAAACATGTATTTTTGGATTTTTTATAAGATTTTTCACGTAAATGATACATTTCCACCTATTTCTCATTTGTTTATTTTGAATTTATAGATAAGCAAGTATTTTTTTTTTAATACTATTACAGAGATTATATATTACAGAGATTATATATTACAGAGATTATATATTACAGAGATTATATATTACAGAGATTATATATTACAGAGATTATATATAATACATTTATTAAATCAATATAACAATAATTGTTTTTAGATATATAAATAAATAGTAATATGAAAATAAATAATAAGCAATACAGAAAAACAAGTTGTAAAAAAATTTTAAGATATGGAAAAAAAAAATGTGGTAGTAAACCCAAGGAAACCATTGTATCTTTTAAACAGACCCATTTTAGAGCTTCCTAAATACCAGTTGCCTACAAATAGTGACATTTTAAGAAAATTTTGTCATATTATTTCCTCAAAACAATTAAGGTATGTCAAAATCAAATATTTGTTTCTCCGTGGAGAAAGGAGGGTCAAAAGGCAGCCAAAATGTCAGCTCCCTGGTGTAAAATGTGAGACAGGTATTAAAGATTGTTTTGTCAAAGAAGTAGTAAATATCTGGTGCAGAGCGGGCTTTCAAAAAGACTTCTTGATGAAAAGTTGGACCATTAAAGATAAGATTATAAAGTTCAGCAAAAATGGAGAAAGCTCTAAGGTAAAAAAAGGTTTAAGCTCTAAGGTAAGATTTTCTTGATAGTTGTACAAGAAATAATTTTGTTATTTTTATTTTAATTGTCGACCTTTTTTAGAGTTGTAAATGTGTAAATTGTGTCTTTTATTTTCATATTAGATGAACCTCTCATCAAAAGAAAATCTTTTGATTCTTGAAACCGACTATAAAAAACTTCAAATGAACTTTTTGACATAGGCTGCAAAAATATTGTAATAAAATTAAAGGAGACATTGATTTCCTAACCAATCAAGAGTTGACTAGAAAAATGTTTATAACTGAAGGTATTGGCATGATTTACCAAAAATGAATTGAAAATAGGAATGAGATTAAAAAAAACTTGAAATGTTCATAGAGGATAAAAATTTATTCGAAAATCATATTGTGTTTGGATCAAATTCATCTGATGGTTCATTTTTCGATGTATCTAGTGTAGAAGATAAAAACTTCTCTGTTTAAAACAAAGAAAAGGGTCTGATAAGCTGCACCTGGAAAATTTGTAGATATTCATTCCAGCTTCAAGTTTTTTTTTTTAAATTAGTTTTAAATTTTTAGTGCACAAATCACTGCTTTGAAATAAATATTTGTCTAGTGCAAGATTTCCTGGCAGACAGTCATAATGAAAATCAGATAAAATACATCATGGTGGTTGCTAAAGAGAATAGAAAAAGTGTGGATAAAAGAATAAAAAAGAGTAATTTAAACAATATAACTCCTTAGTATAAAGTATTTTAGATTAAATGTAATTTTTTTTTTCAACTTTAATCAGACAAAAAATATTTTGAACCAAAGTAAACCTTAAAAATTTTCTTTGGATTGCTTTTTCATTTAAATATTAAACATTTTGAAGAAAAATGAAGATCTACACCTAACACTTCCTGAAGGTTTAAACAACTTAAATTTTGCATTTTTCTTTTATTTTAAGTATAGAACCAGGATGTGTTAAGAACTTTTTGGTTCAATGAAAAAGTTATATTTTTGGGACACCCAAGCATAACGTGATTTTTGACGTCATTAAATTCTTTTTATTTGCTTTTCATATTTATCGACATTAACTGCACCAATTTACTTAAGTACCGCAAAACTACTTTAAATCATTAATGTAGAAATGTTATTATTTAAAAATGCTTTGGAATTTTTTGTTTTTTAAAATGTTAATACATTTTATAAATCCAAATGTTCATGACACGTTTTGTCTATACTGAACGAATAAAAAACATTATAACTAAACATTTAAAAAAAGTTATAAAATATGCTAATATTTGATTTTTTTTTTTCAAATATGTAATTTAAAGTTTTTCAAATAATTATTTTTTCTTTTTAAAAAGTCAGCGAGTAATAAACTGGAAATTTTAATATTGTACAATTAAAAACTGTCCAATAGCTAATATTTTTACCAGCTATTTTATATAATATTTTTTTATTTATTTATTTTTTTTTATTTTCATAAAGCGGTTGATAAGCACAATCACTCGTATTACTAAAAAACGTTGAGTTTGAGTTTCGGTAATTTTTAATAAAAAGGCGATTGTTATTATTTAAGTTATTTTTTTTGAGTTACTTTTTACAAAAATTTGAATAACTGTACTTTTTTATTAAATCAAGTAGAATACGTTTTAATATTAATCCTTTTATTTATTTTTTTATTTGCGCTTACCAATTTTTAAAATGTTACCTCGAAATTACTCTTAAATACTTTAAATACGTCTAACAATTAATAAATATTTTTAAATCTATGGAATAATTTTAAAACCTAACAAACCCCCGTAAAATAATTATTTAAGTTAAAAATCTAAAACTAAAAGAAAGTATTTTTGTTCAATTTTATCGACAACTTTGCTATTGCTGAATAATTTTATTAAAATGTTAGTTGAAAAAGATTTATACATTTTTTTTAATCTGAATTTTTTCTACTTGTAAATAATGAGCATATTTAATTTTTTTGTAATTCAAACTTTTATATCAACTGCGTGCGGTTTTTAAAATACTTTATTAAATGTTAAAATAATCGTAAATTGCTTCATTAAAATGCCGCTCAAAAATATCTTTAAATTTACTCAAACAAAAATTTTTTTGCTCAACGCAAACAGCCCTAGCTACACGCAAAATCGCTCTTGGATGACTTAAAATTCACATCACCCGATGCTTTATTGCAAGGACTGATTATATATATATATATATATATATATATATATATATATATATATATATATATATATATATATATATATGTATATATATATATATATATATATATATATATACATATATATATATATATATATATATATATATATATATATATATATATATATATATATATATATATATACATATATATGGAAATAAATATATATGGAAATACATATATATATACATATACATATATATATATATATATATATATATATATATATATATATATATATATATATATATATATATATATATATATATATTATATTTATATATATATATATATATATATATTTTTTTTGTTTGTTTAACAAAGCATTGTTGTGACCTTTTATAATTCTTTCCATATTTTTTGTGCAACTGTAGCTAACTTTAATAGTATTTCGGTTAAAAATTTTATGTAATTTATTAGAGGGCGAGAAATGCTTATCAATCAATTTTAAAAACACTTTTCCTATGTTTGTGGAAACATTTTTGCTATATGGGGGGTTGAACCAAATTACATTTTTAGTTCTATTTCGCTTTTTTGTATTCTTTTTTTCAGGGTCAAATTTTAATTCAAAGTTTTCAAAACCACTTTTTTTAAGGGCATCTTCAAATATCTGTTTGGAGGAATTGAATACATTTTCATTAGAGGAGTTTTGGTTAAGCCTGTTATTAATTGAAATTGGGATTTCAATTAATAACAGACAAAAATATATAATCCAACAAATTCACAAATTTCTGCTCCATCATAACTGCCCATTGTTACATCAAAACAGTTATGTATGTTTTTCTTTTTCCAAGTTTCCTTATTAAAATAAAGTAAATAAAATGTATATATATATGTATGTATATATATATATATATATATATATATATATATATATATATATATATATATATATATATATATATATATATATATATATATATATATATATATATATATATATATATATATATATTTGCCCCCGCCATTTCCACAAAATTTTTGATTATTGAAGGTCGTCATTTGATTTCTGGTGCATTTTGATGAGTACATAGAAAAAATCATATTCATTTTTTTTAAAATCATATTCAACTCCAGTGTGTTAAAGTTTTCAGACTTTTATTGAAATCTCCTTATTTTATGCACCAACTTAGCGCATTTATTTAGTCGATTTTTGTGATAAAACAAAACTTTCAGGAAACAACCACATTTTATTGTTCCATCAATATATTATAGTAATTTTATTTATAGATATAGTTTGAAAATCTAAAAATTTATTTTCTTTCAATTATTGCTTTTTTTTATTAAAAACATTTGAATCACAAATATAGACTCAAAAACATAATCAATCACTTTATCACTTTAATATTATACAGTATGGTTAGTTAAAATGTTGTTTCAAAAGTTAATCAAATTTTTTATGGTACTAATTAAATGTTTTGCTCTATGCTCTGCTATTGAAAGAAGAGTATCTTGCTTCAACACTTCATTTACGCACACTTTTGGGAAGTCTCGATTAAGTTTTAGCGCTCTTTCAGCAGGATCATTTACTACATGTAGTTTATAAACCCAGTCCTTAAATCTTCTGTAAGTGCTGTATTTCCTTCATACCTTACAACTAACTTGACACCATTCAAAATCATTCTTTGTAATTCCAAGATTCTCAAAAACCAACCAACTTATGCCTCCTACAAATGATGACAGATTAGAAGTATTTGGATTTTTGTATTGCTCTTGAAAATTTGGCTTGCCAACATCCTATTTTCAGAGTTAAACATCTATTTAGCAACACTTTCTCTAACTTCGGGCATTAGTTCCTCTTCAGCTATGGAGAAAATAACTGTTCCCTGGTCGTGGTACCAATGATATTGTTTCATCATGTCAATGAATGCCTGGGCAATATCTCTGATTGCTTGTATATTCATATATGGAACTGTACATGCAAAAGGAGCTTTTAAAAACCAAAAAGTATAAAAAAACACCAACAAACTCAGCAAAAACTGTAAAACGTGAAACATCGTTTGCAGAAAAAAGATTTGAATCAAGCTGTGGACTAAGAAAATAAAGTACAAGATTATAGATTGATTTAGCAAGTTATCTTGCATGATGGAAGGCACCAGGTCTTTTAAAATGAAATCCCGTGACAAATCCACCTAAGTATACAACTATTAACTGGCAAAGGTACTTATAGTATCTGGGAAATACGTTTTCTTATAAAGCTTCACTGCAAAACTGTAAGACTCTATCAGCCTAGAAAAAATATTTATTCAATTTATTATGAAAAATTATTTGTCTGTTGATAAAAAATATGCTTTATTAATGTTATATATTTTCTTGTTAATAATAAGTCTTAACAGTTCAAAATATTTTTATCTCACCTTATTTTCAATAAACATTCCACGGTTACTTTTCCAGTCAAACTTGTTCATATTCTCATAATTTATTCCTTTAGCAAACATTTTATCCCAGTTATTATGTAATGTTTTAAATGTATTGCCTGTAGGTCTGGTTGTAACTTTGCCTGTCGCAATTTTTTATTTCTTTAGCGTAGAGTTCTACAACATGGTGTCTACATGCTAACCAAATTAGTGGTTTACCTTTCCATCTCTCATTAAATTTACACTGCTCCATTAATCCATCCAGTATTACTCGCAGTTGTATCAAAGGATACACTATCAACTAATTTAAAAAGATTCCATTCATTTGAAACCTTTTTTATTGCAGTAGCCTGGGTTATTCCACACCCATCAGAAATTCGAATTACTCCAATAAGCTGGGGCTCATTGAGATCTGGTGAGCTAACAATTACTGCCAAACTTTCCACATTTTGCCATGATTAAGAACATCTGTAATTTTTTTTTTGTGTCCAGATGAACAGTCAGGCTTTTGAGATAAAAGTTTCCTATATTTTAATTCCTTCATTCGTTAAGACCATTTTGTTATGCCTTCTTGAAGTTGTTTCTGATAGTGAAAACTTATTCAAATCTCCATTGCCTGCATTTATAATACTTGCAATTATAGCTACCTGACTTGTTAAATGAATATTGTATCTTTTTGCAACAATTGATGTTGATTTAATTATATCTTTAGGCAAAGAAATCATTACAAAATTGTCAGTTTTTTTCCTTTTTGAATTGTATTATTTAAAGTCTATATCTAACTCATCTGATTCTACAAATTCAGTATCAGAATATTTTTGAAGAATTGATTGAAAAATATTGTCAGATTGTTGACCTATCATTTTTGCTTGAAATTTATTTGTTTTTATAGACTTTTCATAACTTTTGTCCTTACAATCCATTGACTTTCGCAGACTTTTTTGGTTGTCCAAAAACATACAATCTTCTTTTCTGGTTAGAAGTGATTTAGTTTTATGTTTCATTATTATGTCATTAACATCTGAAGGAGAAATATCGAAAAGGTTACGCATTTCTTCCCGATATTCTATGCGCTTTTTTTTATACCCAGTAGATACTTTATTTCTGTTTGCTTGTAATCTACTTCTGCGATTTTCCAATTCCATAATGTTATTTCTATAAGATATATGTATTAACTAAGGCTTTAGTAACACACATCAAGCAGTTCTCTTTCGTCTGACAACCACCAGATTCGTTACATTTAGGCGTAAAAAAAAATTTAGAAAAGGGGCAGGCAACAATGTCCTGAAAATGTTTAATAAAAATTCCTTATAAATGTCTACAATGTCCCTAGAGATATAAATTAAAATCGTGCATGAACAAAACCTTGAAATATACATATGGTAAAACTAGTAATTAATATATAGTTCATAAATACAAATTTTAAATAACAATTTGTTAATAAATAACAATTAACTACACAATATTAAATACATATATATATATATATATATATATATATATATATATATATATATATATATACACACACACACACACACACACACAAACAAGCATACACTCTTAATTGGTCGTCTTTTATTTTTAACATATAGTGTAAGCTTTGTTTAAAAAAAATTGTTTAGAATTTTTTTAATTATTAGATTAAAATTTTTTTTTTTTAATCTACCAATTAAAAAAAATTAAAACCAAAACCTTCAGCAACAATCCTTGCAATATATATTATACTTGTAGTACTAAACATGTAAATTTAAATAAAATAAACGTGTAGTAGTTTGTTTAAATTTAGTAATAAGAACTTACATTTTTTTATAGAAAGAACTGTTGCAAGCTTTTGATTTACATAAACCAAGTTCAGAAATCCTTCATCGTAATGGGTAAAGTTCTTTATTTGTAATATATATATAAATAGTCAATATATTTTATATATATTGACTATTTTCACTGTTTGTATTAAGTTATTGTATGGGTACCTCAAATTATTCTATGGGCAATCTGATGAAAAGCATTTATTCAAAGTTTAAAAATTTCTTTGCTAAAATTTATCAGTTCGAAAATAAGAAATCAGTAATAATAAGAAAGTAAAATAAGAAAGCTATAAAATTGCTACATTGCTGCTATATTTCTTTTTCTAATGACTTAAATTAAATATAATGATATAATTTTGCAATTATATTATTTTAAAGATTTTTGTTGACTTGATCATTTCTTTTTGTTACAAATTATAGTAATCAAGCAATTGCTATAATTAGAAGAAATATGGACAACTGCATTTTATATTTCAATCAGTTATTGTTGTAAATTTTAGTATATTTTTTATTAGTAACTTGATTTATTGTTTTTAAATTAACTTTTTATAATAGGTCAGCATTGATAAAGTTCAAGTTTTATTTGAATGCATATTATGCCTGGAAAAGAAAGCACTGCACACAGTTTTTTAATGAGTTGATTTTTGTTAGACCATTTAAAGACCATAGATCAAAAAATATTTCATATAAGTTAATGTTGTCTAAATTACCAGAAGGATTAAAAACGGTATGATTTAAAATTATTACCAAAAAATAGTTTAGAAAAATGGTATATTTTTTACAAAGTGACTTTATTATATTAAATAATTAAATACTTAAAATATATTAATATATATTATTATATATATTTTTTGTATAATATTTTTTTAATTGTATATTAATTTTTTAATACTAATAATGTAAAGTATAATCCTTTATTTGTTTTGAAATATTTATGAATGTTTAATTTTACAAGTTAAAAAAAACAAAAACAATGTCATAAATAGTACTTAGAAAATTTATCAGAAAAGATCCTAAAAGTGGAGGATCAGCTGGAATCTAGAATTTATTTTTCAATATTCAGTAGCGTCCAAAAGTTTGTGGACAGGCATGAAATTAAATTTTACAAATATTTCTGCACATAAACCACTGAAGCCAACATATTATATACCAATTAAAAGGTTTTCAGGTTAACAATTATATTTTGAACAAATAATGATTATTTAATTAACATTTAAATATTGTTTAACAAAATAACGATTTTTGATAAGTTCAAAAGTTTGCAGACAAACTAAAGCTATAAACATTTTCACCACAAAATTGCTAATTTTTTGATTTTATAAACAAATACTTTGTGAAAATAATTTACAAACTTTATTTATAAGTGATTGAGATCATGGGATCTAAGAAATGAATTTCATCTCCAGCAATAAAATTGATCTTGAGATCAGTTAAAAATGAAAATTTGTTTCGTAAAACAGCACAGCTTTATGGAGTCGGTAAGTCTGTTGTTGGACAAATTATGAAGAGATATAAGCTTACAAGGTCTACAAAGAATAAAAATCAATCAGGAAGGCCACACAAAACAATGCGTTATCAGGATAAAATGCTTGTGATACTAAGCAAAGAAAATCCCTGTTTGACAGCTGTTGATATAAACGTTCAAATGAGATGTTTCTATGGAATGAATTGCAGTGTTTCTTCTATAAAGTGTTGTTTACATCATGCTAATTTATTTGGAAGACACCCAGCTAAAAAACCATTTGTTTCCTTGAAAAACTGTGTTGCTCGAAAAGAATTTGCATTAGAGCATCTAAAGTGGAGTAGTCAGGCCTTGTTACGAGATTTCGCTGCGTAGCGGAAAAGTGAATAATTGTAACTTTACTCAATAAAGATATTTACATTGTTAAAAGTTAAATTACATCAGTTGCGTTTTTACTTCATCGTAATTAAATTTAAAATGACATTAAAAACTATTGTTAGTCTTTGAAATAAATTTGAAACAAAATAGCTTTAAATTGAACAATGTTGTTATAAAAAAAAAAAAAAAGTGAATGTTGATTAAAAAAAAGTCTTCTTGTATTAAAATCTTATACTTATTTAAACTTAATTTTTTTGCTTTTAAACATTCCTTTTATGGTTGTTTTTTTTTAAATATTTTTTTCAAGTAATTTAAATTTATCACTTGTTTATGGTTTAATTTCTTAAAGGGATTTAAAACTTATAACTAAACACATAGATTGGGTTTTCCCCTTTTAAAAAAACGTTTGCACTAACTGGTTTTGATAAAATAAATACTGTAAAGAAACGAAATTTACTGCTTTTTCTGCTTTTTTTTTTTTATTTTTATTTCCATTAAAATATTTAATTTTTATGTACAGTGAAACCTAATATTTTTTTACTCAATCCAAAAAAAAAAAAAAATAGTGTTTTTGGTTTTAAGATGTTATAAGCAGAATTTGTTTTTAACAAATATCATTATAATTTTGAAGTTTATGTATCTTATATTTATAGCTCTAGTACTAGTTTTGTTTTTAAAATAAAATAAAGATAAGTTGGGCTTTTAAAGAGTTTATTTACTGATCGCGTTATTTTTAATAGGTTTGAATTTTGGTTTGTTTTATAAAAAAAATTCTTCGGCATAAGGCAAAGGGAAAAACCCAAACATATCAAGTTTAAATGTATTGACGTCATTTATTAACTTGTAGTTATAAAATGAATAATGCACTTCTGTAAATAAAGGCGGCTTTCCACGGAGCGAATTATTTTGCGCGAAGCGAAATATTTTGCCGCGAATATTTCTGAGCATGCGCACAATCATTTTTTTTATTGCCTTGCGAATTTTTTCTCTTCGCAAAATAGTTGGATTGACTTCAACTTTTTCGGTAGCGCATTTTTTTGCTTAAAGGAAGAGCCAATCAGAACTTTTGAAATATGCAAATTAAGCAAATATAAAAATTCAGCATGTAGAAAAAAAAAAAAAACACAACAAAATTTTAATGGCAGACAATAGTAAAGAAAGAAATGTTAGCGTAGATTTATTGGAAGCTTTAATAAATGCTTCTCAAAATCAAGTTGCAATCACGAATGAAGAAGTAGTTAATGAAATAGACGAAAACGAAGAGAATGAAAACGATAATTTTATTCCTACTGAATTCGATATAGATCATTTTATAGAAGCTGTTCGTGAGCTTCCAAGCTTGTGGGATGTGAATCACCCCACATACAAAGACAGATTGGTTAAAGTAAACGCTTGGAAAAAACTTGCGTTAAAATTTTATAAAGAAGAGGACTTCCTTCAGAAAAGTTAAAAAATCTAAAAGATACACTAAAAAAATGTTTAGATAAACGTAACCATATGACCAGATCAGGAGCAGCAGCCTCAAACTTACCAAAATGTAAGTTTTTTGATCAAATGACATTTTTGCATGAAAAAAGTGCAAACAAACCAACAGAATCTAATGTTGATATTGTCCCAGATGTTGCTTCACCATCATCGTTTCACTCACAATGTAGTTTTACACAATCAAGTCCAAGTACCAGTAGTATTTATATATATATATATATATATATATATATATATATATATATATACATATATATATATATATATATATATATATATATATATATATATATATATATATATATATATATATATATATATATATATATATATATATATATATATATATATATATGTATATATATATATAAATATATTTATATATATATATATATATATATATATATATATATATATATATATATATAATAATTTTCTTTTATATTTTATTTGTTTTATCGATGTATTTTTATTTTTAAGAACATCTTTAATGTACTTCTTACTTTTGACTTTTTTTCCATTATCAGGTTTTTTTGGCATTGGTGTAATTATTTATTAAGTTTAAAAATTTTTAATTTTAACTTTTCTATGAAATATTTATATGTAAAAAGCATTTTTCTATGAAATATTTATATGTAAAAAGCAATTTATATGTAAAAAGCAATCTTTAGATCAACATAAAAATTATTATTTTGAAGTTCAAGATTTTAAGTATTGTTGTAATAAAATTATTATTATATTATTAAAAGTATATGTGCTCTACCTGGTAAAAGTCTTACAATTTTACTATATCAATTGTTAACATAATTTACTTTGTCCTTAAAGAAATAACAGAAAAAATGTCAATTTTTTGAGTAATAGTTATTAGCATTTACCCTTAAACTACATGGTTTATATAGTGACTTATACGTTCACCATTACAAGTTTCTGTTTACCAAGTCTAGTTGCCATTCCAGTTCTCCTTCTGGTGTATTAAAGTATTCTTTAAAGTCATCTCTAACTTGCTTTGCATCTTTGGAGTAGTTGTTAGAACCTGATTGTGACATTGGTTGTAGTGCAGCAGAACATGAATTATCTTGTCTCTAATCACCTGGTCTAAATCCAGCAGGACCGTCGATATTGGTGTAATTTGTGGGACAGTAGACATAATTGTTTGCTGATCTTTTTTCATCTTTTTTCAAGAAAGTTATGTAGGGCTACAATCGCTTGTGTAATTAAAATGACTTTTTCAAGATTAGCAATAATTGGTCTGCGAAATATTCAAAAGCGTGTTGTAGCAATACCAAATGTATTTTCTATTACCCTTCTGGCTCTTGAAAGTCTGTAGTTGAATATTTTTTGATCTAAAGGAATGTTTTGATTAGGGTATGGTTTCATCATGTGTCTTTTTAAACCAAAAGCATTGTCAGCAACTAAAACGTACGGTAATACCTTTTCTGAATTACCAATATATTCGGGATCAGGAATATTCAATTTATTATTTTCAATTCCATAACCAAGACTGCAGTTGTTAAAAACGCTACCATCACTCTGTCTTCCGGAGTCACCAAGTTCTACCGTAGTAAATTTGTATTTAGCATTACAAACAGCTAGAAGAACTATGCTATGCGTTTTCTTATAGTTAAAATACTCTGATCCGCCATTATGAGGAGCTTGCATAACGATGTGCGTGCCATCTATTGCACCTATAGCATGCAGAAAATTCCACATGTTTTCAAATTCTTTTGCAATTGTTTTCCATTCTTGTTTTTCTGATGGGACGTGTAGAAAATTTCTCTCTTTCAATGATGTCCAGATAGCAGCGCATGTCTCACTAATAATCCTACTGATAGTAGATGCGCTGATTCTGTAACTTGCAGCAATAGTACACTGAGCATCTCCTGTTACAAGAAATCTAAGTGTTACGGCCAGCCTTTCACTCAGACTCACAGGGTCTCTCATGGTAGTTCTTTGTTTTACAATGATAGGCGCTACAAACAAAAGCAACTCTTCGTAAGTTGTTGGAGACATACGAAAGTACTTAAAAAAGTGTTCCTGGTGGTGTAAGCGTAAATCCTGGACTAATAAATGAAACTCTCCTTTCTGAAGGCGTTTGGTATAAATTTTCCTTACCCAAAATCATTTTTTCTTCTTTTCTTTTTCTTGTATCATTTGCAACATTTTTAAAATAATTAATTTTCTTCGAACTAACAACAATCTTCTTTTAATCAACATGTTTTCCAAAAAGCGCGCTAAAGGTTGCGCTAAAGTTACGTGGAAATTAAAATTCTGATTCTGCGAAAAATTAGTGGCGAAAAAGTTCGCTTTGCGCGAAAAAATTCGCTCCGTGGAAAGCCGCCTTAATGAATGAAACTGTAAAATAATGGAAAAATAAAAACTGGAAAATAATGCGCTTTTGTTAA